AAAAAAAAATTAATTACTAATATTTGCGCGACGAAAAATTGACCCGTCGCGCAAATCACGTTTTAAAAAATAAAAAAACCATAAAAATATATCGTAAACGAATATAATCCTCGGTTTGCGCGACGGACGTATTTGTCCCCTAAAGAAAATGCGACAAATAAATCATTGTCGCGCAAGGGTTTGAGTCACGATCCTTATTCATCGCACAAGGTATTTGCAACGACGAAATATTTGTCGCGCAAATATTGTTTGCGCGACGAATATATGTCGTCGCATTATGTTCATGCAACGTCTGTTAATTCGTCGCGCAAAAAATATTTGCGACGGATTGAAGTGTCGTCGCGCGTAGTTGCTGCAACGCCTGTACTCTCGTCGCGCAAAATATTGAGCGACGGATTGTTTGTCGTCCCTGAACTATTGGCGCAACGAAGGGTATTGCGCGACGATATTTTATAGTTTTGTCGCGCAAAGTCTAGCGTGACGGTATTTGCGCGACTGATTTTGCGCGACGATATATCTGTCGCGCTATTGTTTCCGCGACAGATTTGCTCTTTGCGCGACTATTTTTGATTCGTCGCGCAAACGCTCAAATGTAGTAGTGTAATTAACAATTTGGTATGAGTATGTTTTTGTTCTCAATGCTAGAAGGGGCCCTAGTTCTTAATTTCGAAAAGTTTAGTCTTGAGTGAAAGTTCACCGACAAAAATAATCAGCCAACCAATAACTATTGCTATGTAAGCTTCTAGTCTTCAACCGCATGACCAAAAGTGGGTAAATTATATGCATAACTTTGCAGTTCCAAACCAAACATTCAGCCCATGAGCCAAGCCAAGCATATGTAGGTTTGAAAAGACTACTGAACTTAGCATGTGTATCCATTAATTTTGGTACCACTTTATTGTGTGGATTGCTACTCAACTCTTTGGACCAACTTATATGTGGTGTACATCTTGAGGTAAAGACAACTTGTCGATCTAGCAATAAATAATATGAGGTTGAAAGAAACTGAAAAAAGATCGAGCACTGACTCAACATGATTAAGTAATTACATTAACATGATATCATACTGAGTTTCAATTTAAGGATCCCTAAAATGATTTTATTTGAGATTGATAAAGAGGGTATTGATATATATATATATTTACAAAATAAACGGTTTGGATTAGTGAAATACAATGCGGAGTGGGTCTTACAAGAGTGTCCCTCAAATATATTTGAAGGATCTCTCAATGAAAACTCCCTGCATATATATAAAGGATATTTGAACTGCGGTGGGCAAGTCCTTTTTCAAGCAAAGCGTCATATTCATTAAATCACGAAGATGCATTGGATTGGGTTTGATTTTTGAGCACATGGAGATCATTAGAGCTTAGTTTCATTTGTAATACTATGTAACTTCCTTGTTTCATTTAGCATTGGCTCTTCTTCGCTTAATGTATAATTGAAGAGGGCTTAATCCCTCAACATCACCTGGCTAGTTAGTAGAAAGAAAACTGTGCTTGAAATTATTTTTTCCCTTGTACTTCTATTGTGAATCTTTAGCAATTCCTCACACTCACTTGTAATTTGGTTTGTAACCACACTCATAGACACTCTCTAGCCACAAATAATATGACTTCCTAAAAGTCTTATTTATAGTGGGTAGGAAATAGGATTAAAATAGGAAACCTAAACTAAGTAGGAATTTAAATAAGAATCTAAAACAAGGCCAGTTTGGCATTGTTGTGATGTGAAAATAATCACAATCAGATGTGTTGTGAGATAAATCAGTTGTGAAAGAAAGCAGTTTGGCTTTTGGTAAATTTTTTATTAAAAGTAATATTGGTACAATAATCAGTTTTTGAGTGTGTGGTAATTTTTTTGTGTGAAAGTGTTGTGAGCTATGTATAATGACTAAAAAGAACATTATGGTGAAATAACTCTTTAATTCAAGTGGTTTTGTCCCTAATCAAGCTCTCGTTAGAGGAGTGTCTATGGTTTGAAATGAAGCATCTAATTAAAAGTATCATGTTTTTTTTTACTCAAGTAGTTGTTATCTTTGTATGTAGTCTGAAATGAAATAAACAATCAGAAACTTTCTAACCGATTTGAGTGGGGTTGGGTTTCACTCTCTTGAGTCTTCTCTAATAAGAAATAATAACAAGCAGGAACCAAGAATTGTCCATTTATTTTAAATAATCGAATTATTGGGTCCATATTGGTTATAGGGTCACCTTTAACAAAAGTAAATTGTTTCTTGTTCAACGCAAAAACCCTTACCATTCCATTTCTATTTCTAAAGCTTCTTCTTCATCATTAAGATAGTAACAAAGGGTAAAATAGTCATGGCTACTTTGTCTCACGCCTTTCCAAGCATTCTGTGTTCTTGTTGTCATTGTTGAATCAATAATCTAAAGGAAGATCACAAGGTATGCATTTGGGGTTTCTCCAGGGAATGAGTGACTATGACATCGGTATTTCTAGGGTTTATAGGAAGAAGGATATTAAAACTCTAACCGGTCGCTGCTATCATATCAGTTTGATTTGTAAATTGTACCATAATGAGTGAGCTTCCCTAACCCTAATTGAGAAGAATGAAATTGAAAAGAAAAATAAACCTAATATGTCACTTACCTGAGCCTTCCGGCTTTTAGATTTGCTTCAATTGATCCAACAAGAAAAATTGAAGAACAAGTGGAAGAGAAGGAGAAGAGGGAGCTTTAGACTAATGAACTTGGAAGAGAACGATGGGAAGGAGAAGACTGAAATTAGGAGAAAAGAGACGTGAGCGTGATATAGATGGGGTTATTTTAGGAATTTTGAAATTTTCATTAAAGTCCATCGCCACTCCAAAACTGATTACTGGATTAGCTGTTTTCCCTAATTGCTTTCTCTCACATCAATTATTCATAATACGTGATTTTCGTATCTCTTACCAAACTCCTTAGGTTTTCAAAGTTTTCAAAATAATCACTTATTATAACCCCAAATAAGCAATGCCAAATGGGCACTAAACAGAAAACAATATATTTTTTTTTCTAGTTGAATTTTATCTTCACAACTCAACATCGATATCACACCTGAAGAAAAAACATAAGCGTAATATATATAGAGTAATGCTAGAGACACCAACAATAATGTGTGGCGATTTTTTATTTTTTATGCCTAGCATCTAGTTTTTTCTTAACAGCACTTGATTGACTAAATTATCTAAGTTAATGGATGAGGAGCCATGTGGATCAGTTGCATTTTCTGCTAGTTTCTTCCACTCCTTAGCCTTCTTTTTCATTTTCTTACCCTTCTCTCCCTCCATCAACTCTCTAACAAGCATCTCCACTCCATCTCTCTTGACATCGTTATCAATCTGCATGCCACTGCTCCATTCATTGCAAGTATAATAACAATTGGTTTGCTGGTCAGCAAAAAATGGCCAGCAGAGCATAGGCACTCCTGCAGTCAGACTCTCCATGGTTGAATTCCAACCGCTGTGTGTTAAAAACCCTCCAACTGATGGGTGGTTAAGGACTTCTTCTTGTGGGCACCAACTTGCTATTAGACCTCTTTCCTTCGTTTCCGCCACAAACTCAGGTGGCAAATATGCAGATTCACCAACAACCAAATCGGGCCTAATTACCCAAAAGAAATGAAACTTGCTATTTGCAAGTCCCCAGCCAAACTCCAGAAGATGCTGCGGTGTCATGACCGCTACACTGCCAAAATTCACATAAACAACTGAATTTGGGGCCTTGGAATTTAGCCATTGAAGGCACTCAGTTTCTTCTTTCCATAAACTGTATCCGATAGGGCTAAAAGAATCTTCTGGTATCTGATTGAGAAGTAATTGGATAGGACCAATGGTATAAAGAGGTGGAATCAGCATAGATGAGAGAGCATCCATAACATCTTTTTCCAAAGCATCAAATGTAAGAAAAACAACTGCTGAAGCTTTATCAACTTTATCTGTTGCTTCCATGCAGAAGTTGAACATCACGTCATCATGATTTGTAGTTTGGATGAAGGTTGGAAGATCCCGTAGACGAATATCTTTCATCCCTGGAATCCAATCTATGACCTTGTCCAAATACCCATTTTTCAAACAGCTCTCATCTACATTGACAGCGAATTAATGAATCAATGAAACATTTCATTTGCAACTTTAACAACAAAATCTCTTGTCAAACTGTCTAGCAAACTATGATCTATTGATTAGGTTTTATTCTTGCATAAAAACACAGTCAGTTGGCATCTTATTTGCATAAAATCTCTGAACTATTTATATAGATGTTTCATTCACCTTTGAGTGGGGCAAGTCCTTTTTCCATCAAAGCGCGATACTGTTTAAAGCCCATGAAGCTGCTTGCAGCAACAGTGTAAAACAGTGTGATAGGGATTCCAAGTTCTTCAGCTGCTGTGATTGTGAACATGGACAAGAAACCGTCTGAAACTATGCAAGTCACCGGAGGAACACTACTTGCTGTCTCATTGAGTTTTACGAGGAGCTCAAGAAACGGAGGCAAGGGCAAGAAATTTCTGAACGACTCACAAAGCAAAGTGGAGTCTTGGGTGGCATCTTCATCTGATTCTGGAAGGCCGTCTGGAATGGTTTCGAATCGAAAATCAGGCAGGCCATCAAGGGAATTAGGTCCAAGAGATTTAAGAAATCGCCTGTGGTTGAACTCTGTGTTGACAAAGGTTATGTGAAAGCCTCTATGGCGGAGGAGTTTTGCTAATTTGAGCATTGCCTTTATATGGCTTTGAGCCGGCAAAGGAAGACAAACTGCATGAGGCTTATTGGAAAGTACAGGGGAAGCCATCTTAGGTTTTGTGATATAATGTATGTGCGTGTTGCATGACTTGCTCAAATGCAGATTATTTATAGGGTAGATCTACCTTCCAACGGGGCAGGTTTACTTTTTATATATAAACAGATTCGATAAAAAAATATTTTTGCTCATCACTTTAACCAAATGTGTATCCTCACCATCATTCTTAATATTTGACACACATGTCCATAGGCATAAACATAGTTATGCATATGGACACTTGTTTAAGTATTGAGAACGGTGGTGATAATACACCTTAGATTAAAATGGTCACTACAAACAAAAAAAAAAAAAAAAAAAAAAGG